ACTTGCCATTAAGAACTGCCAGGGGAATACGAGTTTAATTTGAATTTTGCCACCCCCTTTTATTGGCAAACTTCAATAAATTACACCACCATTAATCCTGGCTGCCATGCGAAACGTGACGCGAGCTGCTCGCAGGCAGGAAGCCAGCGATTCCTTAACCAAACGACTTCAATTTCCATGTGTGCTTTGTTTGTTTGCGTTTTCAATTTACCCGCCAACAACGTGGAGCCGGAACGTGGGTTCCGTTCATTTCGTTTGCCAAACGGGTAAACAATTTTCCACACCAAAACGAATTTCACAAATTGATAATCACGACAGCAAACTGGTCGAAAACGGTTTTCGGTCCGTGTCAATGGTGCAAAACGGTTGAATAAGGGCATTTCTGTTGCGAAAACGACAGTCCTAGTGAATCAGAGCTGTCCTTGGCTAAAACTACATCATCTGCATAATGCAATCCATCCACTGATGGTAATGATAAGCAAGTAAAAACAAAGCAGCGGAAAAGCGCATTAAAATAAATTATGCTTTTTCATTCGTTTCGAAAGCGTGCACAGAAGAGGGCGAAAACATTAACAATTTTTTTTTTACCGTGTCCACAGTTTTTACTTATTTTACTATCTATTGTTGTGACAGCTGCAAAATGAATATCATAAATTTCAAAGCTTTGTGCGGACCACACAAAAAACTATTGCATAAATTCATTGACAAAATGATGGCCAACTGGGAAATTATGACATCAATTCAATTATGGTGCATTCAGCAGGTTAATGAAATGAATGAAATGATGCCGGCAATAGAATGGACGGCAATTAATGGCGAACGTGTCCTGGCATAAGCTTTAACTGCCGACAAAGCCGCGCCGTGCACGACTTGATCAAGAAATACAAGCGGAAATAACTACTCATTAAGCGCGATGGCCACGTAAACGACCAACAGTCCATTGGGGGCTGAGAAATGGCGGCGGGGATTTGGCCGTCGAGAGTTGAGACTTGGCAGCTGCAGCTGCAGCAAACTATGGCGCTGTGGTGTGGTAATAGAAATCATTACAATAAAACTAAATGGGCCCGAAGCAACAGCCAAACGAGGCAATGCCCAAGGAAAGAAAGTCATTTGGCATTTGGCAGCCCCGAAGATGCCGAAGCTCGGGATGAGCCGGCCGAAATGAACGCAGACAAATGGCAGACACGTAGAGGGCATCACAGCCACCCTAGTCCAAGTCCAAGTCCAAGTCCAAGTCCAAGCCCAACTCCGAGGCCAAGGCACACAATCAAAATCCATTTGAGTCGGAAATGAGAGACATCAACAACGGCCCTGCTTAAACCTATGCCCGTTCTTTTCCGGATACTCTACGGATACCCTACACTTGGAAAACTAGATTTCACTAAGTTTGCTTTGAGAAGTGAAAATATTACAGTACAGTTAAGGTTTAAATAAATTATGAGTTTTACTCAAAAACAAATGCAACTTTCAATCGCAACAAAGCAGAAGCAAGCACTAAAATAACTGGCACTTACAAACTCTCACAAATAATTATTAGTTCTTCTAAGTAATTTGTAACTCAACGAAAATTTATTTTTAAATATTTAGTGCTTTAGTTCTGAGTTTTAAAACACTGAAATATCAAAAATATGTCCTTTAATTTTAAGATAAACACCTATTGTATGTTTAAAGGAAATCATTGTTCTAAATTAAATGTTCTTAATTTAAAAATATATTCTTTGACGGAATTTTGAGATTTTTAAAGAGTTTCCTATGATTGTTCTTTGAAAAATACTTGTAATGCTTATTAAAAATATAAAATGTAAATTAACATTACTTTTTAAGCTACAATGTTTTCCTAAGTGTAGAAAATAGCGGCAGCAACAGCAGGTCGTGCCATAACTTCACATAAGAAGACGCATTCTTGTGGCTGGGGCCAAAATATATTTTTGGGAAATGTCAAGGTTCCTTTGGTGGTTTTAAAATCATTACGATACACACAGGAGGCGACACCGAAAGAGAATGGGATAGTGGGATAAAGGGAGACAGGGAGACAGCGGGAAAGATGGAGAAAGGGACAATATGAACGCTTCATTGCCTCCATTCGACTTGCTCGGCTGGCTCGACTCCGTTAAGCTTTTGAGCGCATTCCTCAGCTTCTTCGGCATGCAAGTGAAATATGTTTTGATATTAAATTATTGTCGGCACGCCCCAGCAGCCACAACAACAACACACCCACACCCCAGACACACACACCCACAAACACACACACACACCCACAAACACACACACACACATACACCCAGATTATATGGGGCACGTGCAGTTCAGGACGCATAATAATTGCCGGTTGATAGCGCCGCCAGCCCGTTGGGTGGATGCGTATCCTTTCGCATCGCTTTCCTTTGCCGGAAAAGCCGTAAGGCCACAAGCCGTTGCTCCAGCAGAAACTTAGCTCGGGCGTACGCTCCAACTGAATTCCGAAAAGCAAAACTGGAATTTTTATTGCAAATTGCGAAATTTTAACTAAAAAAACAGAACGCAGCCAGTAAAAACGATGAACATAGTCATAGCCCTTGCTCCATTGTTCGGGAAATGCCTCACAAAATGTTCAATGTCACTGCTAGAAATTACTTCTCATGCTGGTGAAATCAGTGGCACCACATAACATACCCTACTTATAAACAATGTTTGTGAATTGACAAACGTTTTCAAGAAAAAATTAAATTTTTAAGACTGATGAAAAGAAATTTAAGTTGTTAGTTTTCATATATTTTCAATAGGAAGGTGCTACATGTTTATTGTTTCTTAGTTAGTTATTATTTCTTAGTTAGTGAGCAGGTTACTTATGTTTAATTTAAAATTATAAACAACCAAAACTTAATATATCCATTTTTTTTTAAGGAAATTGATTAGACAATCTACTTAATAAATTCAGTTTTTAATAACTTAATGTTCTATTGCAATGCATCGTGCTGAATGAGAACAATTTAAAAAGTGCTATTTCGAACGTCCAAAGAACAAAATTCAACAAAGAAAATTGAAAACTGTCTGCAGAAAAGTGTAACTTTTGCCAAGCACTTTTGTGCAGTCCCCCAGCACGGATCAAAGTTATAATTTAAATAATTTATTAAGGTTGAACTTTAGGCGTGGCGGTCAAGAAGTTGTGCAAAGCGCCTTAAAGGTAATAAACAAAACTCTTTCCTTTTGTTTATGAATCGCCGCACGAAGGGTGGCGGCAAAAGGAAAAGCCGGAAGCAAATCATTGAAATGTTTCATTTCCTCAATCTGAGGTTGGCCAAAGCGAGGAGAAACCTTTTTTTCTTCGGGGCGAAAAGTACGAAAGCGGATTGAGAAAAAAATAATTCCAAAGTACCGCAAAGCGAGTGACTATGGAACTGAAAGATTTTGCAGGAAGGGGAGAAACGGAAGGCAGGTGGTGCATCAACAAAAGGTAAAATCTATGCAAAGAATATTCTCAATATACGAGGAACGTCAGCGCTTTTCACTCAATTTCAAACTGTAGAATCATTCCGCCCCCGCCTTTCACCCGACCCTATCCGCTTTTTTTTTTTGGTTGACTTTGTCCTTCGGCACGTTCAAGTGCAGCCATTAAATATCTTTTGCTCGAGTGCGTCCAAAAATTGTGTGGGAATTAAAGACGACAAATCACAAAATCGCCAAATTGGTCAAAACAAGTGGAAAATCAGAAATTGTGGCCAAAATAACCAAAACGTGGCCAAGAGGATAAACCCGATGAGACCACTTTTACACACTCATTGTTTTTTCAATTTTTTCTGTTTTTGGCTGACATCCTGAGCCCGATTGATTAGGAGCCCACATTTGAGTATTGATTTACACGCGCTGATACATCACGTATACGCACTGGTGCCCAAGCTGGAGTGCGCTGCGATTGCGGGTCTTCATCCGACCTTCCACTCGAATGACCTCTAATACCTGCTACTACCGTTTTTAGTTAAGACTTCCGATTTGTGTTTGGAGCACATCCCCTTTGGAGTTTCAGTCTTCCGTTCGCCGTAATTTTCGTGATTTCCCCATCACTGGTTCATAAAAAAAGGGTTTCTATTAAATTGCACAAATGGGGATAAAAGTGAACTAAATTTGGTCTATACTTATTTTATTAAAGTTTAAAACACAGCTATGTTGCAAAAGATTTATAAAAACCATTTTTAAATACTTAGCTCTAAACTCAAAAGCATACTAATTCTAACTCTACAGTTTTGAAAGATATTTATTTTTAGTTTTTTGTCATACAGAATTTCCCAGAGTTTCCCTTTTTTTTCAAAATAATATCATTTTGAGGCGTTCGCGACATGCGACACCATTTCGCGAATTCTCTTTGATGCGTCAGCTCGTCCAAAATGTACACAATTCTTTTCTAATTTTCTCCCGGCGAATCCAATACGCTTGATGACCAAGGCATTGGGGAACTTCTTTTATGCACGCAGCGCATTAAATTGAATTTTAAATGAAGATTGATTTTTGCTCTCGACCCGCAGCAGAAGAAGCAACAAAAACTAAAGGGAAAAATGGGAAAAGGCGAGAAACGATGCCAAAGCCACTTGCCAAGAAACCAAAATTGAAATAAACCAAAGAATAAAAAAAAGGAGAAGCAGAAAAAACCCAAAACAAATGCTGCCCATTGTAATTAGAGACAATGGAAGAGCGATCCCTTGTGACTGCAGTGCGCGACCCTTTTCGCTTTTTATCCTACCCTCCGAAGCCCCGACCTCGCGGCCCTATTATCTAAATTAATTCAAATGCCTGAAAGAAACACAAATAATTAAAATTAATTATGTGGAAAATATTCAATAAGTTGGAAATTATGCAAACGAGCGCAAAGCAAACGGCCCCAAAGATAAAACTAAGTGCAATTTTGCCCGTTCGTCGCTCGTTTCGGGAGCGTCAAACATTTTGTTGACCAAAAATATCTTCTCCTACTTAGCATTGATGGACACGGTCCGTTGGACGATTGGCGGAACGGACGGATGGACGGATGGACCGATGGATGGACGGATGGATGGATGCATAGATGGATGGAGGGATGGTTGGCTAAATGGATATGCGTATTAAGCATACCAGACGATTGTCAAGCTGGCAATATTCGAAAGATATTCCGAATTTTCGAAGCAGCCCGAGAAGAGAAACTATCAGACGAATGGGAACGACTGGGCAAATAGTTCGCGTTCGAGTTAGCAACAATTTCCGGCATTTCGTATATAAACTGAAAAGAATAATGCGCCACAGCCAGTGAGTTCGTATCGGTTCGGTTGGGCTCGTTGTTTGGCGGCACACGTTTTGCTGCCCGAAAGTAGCGCAGATTACTTAAAAATACCAAAAACCGAAAAATTGGAACAGCCTCAGCTGGCGGCAGTTTCTCAGTTTCAGATTTTCCGACTCTGCGATCCGGCATTCTCCGTTTGAATTTCGTGAGAGTACAACCAACAGCTGCTGCTGCCGGTGGTGCTTCATTCCTCATTCCGCTTCTGTTGGCCGTGCGAAAAACATGAAATTGAAAATCAATCTGACGTTCCTCTATGCGACACTCGTCGGCCTCCTGTCCATCATCCTATTGACACAGACCGCGGAAATCGAGGCCTTTGGAGGCGGCAGTTCGGGCAATGGGGCAGCAGTGTCATGCAAAGAGCTGAGTAAGTGTCTAAGAATGCCATAGTTCATATTTAAGATGATGGCCTATTCTGAGATAATATGGAAAATTGCTGTATCATATTCCATTGAATCTGTAAATAGGTCCCAAAGTAAGACAAATAATGATTTTAAAATGATATTACATTTCTGAAAGGTAACAATTAAAATTTCACCATTTAATTCCAAACTTTTATAGCCATTATTAAATTAAAAGCTCATTTGTCTTAAATTCCTATTAATTATATACAAATACGCTTTTCATTGTTAAGTTTTTTTTATTAAATTTAAAGGTAAAGATACTTGTTTTATTTGTTTGAAAGTTTAAAGATGTTTAAATGTACTTAACACTAATTAACAATTATGAGATTTGAAATTAATTTTAATTTTGCTATTAACAATGCTGCTAGCAACAACTTTGTTGTAATTACATTCCCGAATTTCCTTTTAAATACGCATAATTCGAAACAGTATTACTGACATCAATTTTGCCAACAAAAAGCAAAGCATGTTAAACTGTTTTTATTGCACAGGTAGATTGCAATCACAGAATAAAATATTTTGGTTCATGCCAAGTTTGGTCCGCGTGCTGATTTCTTTTTGTATTTTGGCCGGCCAGAGTCAATTTTGTCTGCGAAATTGTTCTATTTTTCCGCTTATGACTACAACGTGGCCAGGGAATTATGAAATATTCTATCGTCTGCCCCGAGGCCCGTATAACAAAAACCAACCTAATTGCACTTAATGAGGCCTGGCGCGCTGGCCAACCGAAACGTGGCCGTGGAGCATTTCCAGACGACGATTGATCAACGTATGCATCTGCACTCTTTCAGACAATGTCAACTGCTACGTGGGCCGCAATGAGGGAAACTTCTGCAGCAGCAAGGATCAGACCAAGGCCGTAACTCGTTGGTATTTCGACAAGGGCGTCTGCAAGCCCTTCAGCTACAAAGGATGCAACGGCAACCGCAATCGCTTCTGCACACAGGAAAGCTGCGACTCGCGATGCGGCGACTGATTGGCATTAGCGGATATATTCCTGCGTCTACCTAGTCGATAAGTCTGTACGCGTATGTTTAGATTAAGAGCACATAGAGATCGCACCGCACACTGAACAAAACAGGACATCATATCATTTTAAACTCTGTTTGTAACCATTAACTTCTTTGAAAATCAAACTCTAAAACACATAGTGTCATTTTGAAAATCAGAGCCATAATTTTGTAAAACGTTTCACTTATTTTAAAGCTTTCATATTCGACACATTTTCTCTTTTAGAATACCATTTTTAATTTCACCACCTTTTAACTAATATTTTTAGAAATTAAATGCTTTTACTAAGAATTAAATAAGCAGACCATCAAAATAAAAGCAAAACAGCATACAACTCTTCTGAGATTATTAAAAAAAAATTTCAAAATATACAGTGATTACAATTTTTTAAATTGCTGCCCATCTTTTTGTACAGTTTCTTACTTTGCATAGCCACATTTTTGTTTAGTGCAGCCAAGTGTTTAAGTGTTTTTACCTTTGATCAAACGGATTTTGGCTAAATGCCGCCTAAAAATAGACACTCAAATGTTGTAAGCTGTCAGCGGTGGATCGGCACTTTTCTCACTGTCAGGGCTGTATAAAAAGCCAAAAACGCAAAGAAAAGAAAAAAAAAGTAAGGAAGAGGGCCTGCGGAAAAAATGCGCCAAATGTGCTAACTGTCAGTGGCATATCAAATGGCCCCTTGACATGGCACTGACAGTGTCGCCAAGATGGTGACTGCCATCCATTCCGCGGCCTTTTAATGCCCATCGCGATGATGCTGACGTACTCCGGCCACTGATGCGGCTGGACTTTGTCAGGAAAACGAGGCAAAAATCTGCCAACCGTCAGATGGCCAGTGTCCCGCACATCAAAGAGCCGTCGGCCCCGGCCCTTCTTTTGCGGCTATCGACTTACGGCTAATTAAAACGATCTACATCTGCATCTACCTGTTACCTGCTACCTCTTACCTGTTGACCAAACTAAACCGGGTATTATGGAACAGCATTAATTGCACTGTCGGCATACGTCGTTTTTAACAGGCCTTTGTTTTGGCCAGGAGAAGGGAAGAGGGGGGAAATGACTTGATTGCTGTGCACAAACAAATGCCAATCAAATGCATAATAGCATCGACGAAACGAGACGAGACGCACAACATGACATGCCACTGATGGCAGCACATTAATCTGTTTAAATGACAGCACTCAGGGTATTGGAAGAAAAAAGGAGAAAAAAATTGGGAAATTCCGAAAGAAATCCACACGAGTCATGTGCTAAAACTTCGCTCTCGATGCCGGCAATTTTCGCCGAAAAAAAACACAAAAAAAAATGGGCTACGTTTCTATCGGCAAAAACCGACTAGTCCACGCATAATTTCGACAGACGAAATTTCGCAACGTGCAAAGAAACCGCACTTTTTTCGCGAACAATTTGCATGAAATTAGTTTGCTCTCGGATCTAATTGGAAATTTAAAACGTACGAACGCACGAACACGGCAGACAAAGGCCACTTTGGCGCTATAATTGAAAAATGGCAAATCCACTAGGCATTAGCTCGCAGAGCCGAATAATCAGCGATTGCGCCATAAATGATGCATGGCCGGAAAAAATGAAACCCAACGAAAATTCAACGTCGTAAAATGTTAAAGCCCAAAATCTGGGCAGACATCAAATGCTTGTAATTTGATTATTTATCACATTTTTGTACATTTAACGACTCAATTGAGTTTTATGCGACCAAAAATCTGGGTGCGGAGGGCGTTGATGGTGTTGGGATGGAAATTTTTGGGGTGTGATTTCGATTCTGTTTGCGGCACTTGTTGTCGTCCGGGCATTCTGTAAAGTTGCAATTCCATAAAACCCAAAATACGTAGACCGTCCGTCATACTTTTTGGTCAATCAAAAAAGTTTTGCTTTCTCTGATGGAAAAACGGAAGCGGTCGAACTTTGACAAAGCTCGCAAAAGTATGCTATTCTAAATGTTTTGCTTAGATGGGAAACAGAAATGTTGCTATTGGTGCTCAGTGCCTGTTTGTTTGTTTGTCTGTTGCTTGTTTTCATGCCTGTTTTCGTAATGCATAAACGAAAGTATGCCATAAAGCAGACTAAAGCCACGAACCAAAGGAATTTATAAAACGCAAAAATTGCTTTTGTTTGCATCCACAAAAAGTACACAACGTGGGGATACGGAGAACGTCCATGGACCACCACCATGGACTTCTTTCCATTTTGCCCACAGTCCTCTCTCTTTTCCTTGCGTTTGGCTCCCTAATCTGTCTTGCATGTGTTCATATAAATTTTGTGTTTATTCGAGTGCATTTCCACTGCGTCGCACACTCGGCCGCAGTCGGCCACGTTTAGTGGCCATGGCCAACACACATTCACACACACACACACACACAGCCAAACAACCAAACACCCAGGCATAGTGGATTTTCCCACTGGCTTTGGGGCTTCATTTATGTGTGTTTTCCGGGGAGACAGAGGCAGAACCAGCGGATCACATAATGCCAGCTGCCCGGGTCAACTCAACTCCTGCAGTTGAGCTTTAACTATTTTTCCGTTTAAATAATTTTGAGGTGCTTCTTTGTGGTTAGGTCTTGGTTATGTTCTCCACCCTCTGTTGCCCACCCTTTGGGCGACGCTCTGAACTGGGATTGTATTAAAATTCCTTCTCGACCGAAATGAAAACGAAAGAAGAAAGTTACCAATGAAATTTATTGCCATCGACTTTCTAGCGACTTATAAAAAGTTTGCTTTCAGCAATGTTTTCCACTGACTTCACCTTCAAAATGCGCGGCAAAGGTTTGTCGGCAAATGGAAGCTGTGGAAAAACTTAAACCCTTTGGCCAATTTAATATCGCCACTGTGGTTGTTGTTGCGTTTGCGTTTTCCACACAAATTGGTTTCTCATTCTGCTTGATTTCATGCACAATCTGGAGAAGAGTTTCACCAGGTGGCATACACATACCAGCACCTACCCACACTCCAGCACACAAACAGATGAAAAAACCAATTGGATTTCTATTTAATACTTCTCATTTGGAACATGATAGGAAAGTCAAGAGGATTGAAATTCATTTCAACTTTGGTTGTTTTTTTTGGACTTCTAAGCCCTTGTATTTGCTAAAAGTTTTAGAAACCAATTTAGGTTCAATTTAATGGACTTTTGTAAGATATAATTTAGATATTTTAAAAAATCATTTATTTTTAAACTTTAAATCAATATTTTAATTATTAAATATTCCGAGTTGTTTCTTATAACAATAGACTTTTTTGGAACACCCCGCTACACTATGTTTTGAAAATCCTTGGAAGTTTGTGTGATAATTTTAATTAATTTTTTACGTTTCTATTTTAAGAACTATATTTTTCTCTCTGCTTACCAATACTTGAAGCTGCGTCTTGGCACCTGCACATTTTCTCAGAGCTCTTGACTTGTTATCTGCTTTTGGCCGATCAGCCCACTTGCACTTGTTGCCACTCGAGCTCCTCATTCGGTGTGGGCGTGGTCTTATCTAGACCGCTTCTTGGATATATATATATATATACAAATATGTATGAATGTGTATACAGCCGCAAGGCACGCTCTTATTTATTTAGCTGGAGTTGTGGAATTTTCGCGCTCCTCATGCTTGCTCACGCAATCGAAGTGTGTGACAAGAGCAAACAAGCTGGCGCAACTGCACCATTATCCAGCTGCACCGCTTGCTAGCCCCCAAAACACATCCTGCGGGATTTTCCGTGCTCGTGCTCTGTTCCTGGCAAAGCGTGCACGGAGTGCCAGTGCCTAGCCAAACAGCACTCGACTGCAATTGTCTTATAGTAGCTCAAGGGCTTTCACTACTCAAGAGGATAAGATGTACGTACTTCGTTGCCTAGCCATATTACACTAATATTTTTAACACATAACACATTTTTGGTTGTACCCGATAAAATTTTTTGTCAACTGCGTTTTTAAACTAAAGCATTACAATGGTATGTCTCATTAATTGTGATTTTGTATAAATTCTAAACGAAACCCATGCTACATCATAGTTTTGTTTAAGTAATTAAAGCTGCATTTTTGTTTATTATGTATAAACCTGTTTTACTATCTGAGTGACCGGTTAAAAGACTTAAGAAATTGAGCACTGGAAGTTATTCCCAGTCAATAAACTTTGTAGTTTCGAATTTTATTTTCACTAGCCATAAACCGAGAAAAACCAATATATCGAAGTTATTGAAGTGGCTTTAACTAATATGAAAACTAAATGGAAAGTTTTTACTAGAGAACTAGACAATTTCACTCTACAGTGGTTTAAAGATTTTATAAACACAAACAGTTCAAAGTGGTCTTAGAAAACAATTTATTTTTTTGTAGAACCATAAAACAAATTATAAAAGTTTAAAAATATGCATTTGATTATAATATCAATCATAATTATTCTGCTTGCTACTTTTTTGTGCACATATTTATGTTGATAGTTTTGATGTTGACTTTGCTTTTGCAAAAATAAATTAAAATATTTATACACCAACACATGGCGAAGCAAAGGAAGAGACTCGCATATTAAATTAAATATGAACCTACTCCAAATAACATCAACATGCTATTTCTATTTAAATTTCGCCTTGGGTCCATAGCTGCACGTAGCAGATAAAAATATATGTGTAAGCAAGTACGAAAAAAAGAAAGGTGTTCGTGTGGGGGCGGAGTCGGGGGATTTGGGGCGTGGCAGCAAACATATTGCTGACAGAGTTAAGCAACAGCTCTTCTCGCACTGAATGAATGAGTAAATGGCAGGCGATGCGCAAGTGTGTGTGCGTGGGTGAGTGTGTGTGTGTGTGTGTGTGTTGACTGACTGTGCGTGTGAGTTAGTGTCAAGTCAGGGACATTTAGTAATTCCGCAAGCATATCAAGGACAACGTACTCATAAATACCAAAGGCAAATGCCACAGAAGCAGCAGCAACAACAACTGCATCCTTGTCTCGTCCTTTACTTTCCTTTCCCGTCCTTCCCTTTCTTTTTATCCTTCCCTCTCACTCTCTCACTGTCTGTTTGTATTTGTATGTATGGAATTTTTAACTTCATTATCGAACCCGACTACCATTTCCCTCGCTTCCTGGCTTTCTTAAACACGGAGAAAAATGCCAACCATTTTGACATGGATAACTCTTTAGATTTAAAATTTCGATTTACAAAAAATCAAATATATTTTTTACAAATAAACTGTTATAATGAAAAATTTATTAAGATCTTCAGGATTGCATTTTAATTATGGGAAATCTCTGCGCACCCACCCATATATATTACAAATAAAAAGTAAATATGTTGAAGCATTAATTGCTAAATAA